GTGATGTCAAACTGAGTTCAAATATTGTGCTGCATGATGTCTTGTTTGTGCCTCAGTTCAAATTCAACTTGATCTCTGTTAGTGCTTTGATGCTTGACTCAAAATTCACTGTTAGCTTCTTTGATGATCACTTCGTTATTCAGAAACTCAGAACCAGGAAGATGACTGGCAAGGGTGACCGTGTGCAAGATTTATACGTCCTTGACTTTAAAACTTTAAATTCTGTTTCAAATGCATTTGTAAAACATGTTTCTGTGCATGTTTGGCACAATAGGTTGGGTCATCTTTCTTTTAAAAGATTAGATTGGTTGAAGGATCATTTATTTTATGATGTTACTAAATTCAATAAACATCTGCCATGTTTCATTTGCCCACTTGCTAAGCAAAGGAGATTAGCTTTTACATCAAATAATCATATATCTGATCATCCTTTTGAGCTTATTCATGCTGATATTTGGGGACCATATCATGTTACCTCACACACTGGTTATAGATTTTTCTTAACATTGGTTGATGACTCTTCTAGATTTACATGGATTTATATGCTGAAACATAAGTCTGATGTAAACTCTATCATTCCAAAGTTATTTAGCATGGTGGCAACACAATTTAACACCAAAATAAAGGCATTGAGGTCAGATAATGCCCCTGAACTGGCCCTCACAGATTTTTTGGCAGAGAAAGGCACATTACATCAGTTTAGCTGTGTTGAGAAACCACAGCAGAATTCGGTAGTAGAATGCAAACATCAACATCTTTTGAATGTAGCAAGGGCCTTATACTTTCAATCAAAAGTTCCAATCAAATTCTGGACCGAGTGTGTATTAACAGCCACTTTTCTTATAAATAGAACCCCCTCTCCTCTTTTGAAACATAAAACTCCTTATGAATTAATGTATAACAGACCTGCAGACTACTCTATGCTTAGGGTCTTTGGCTGTTTGGCTTTCTCTTCCACTCTAGCTGCTCATCGACACAAGTTTCAGCCAAGAGCCCGTCTCTGTATATTTCTGGGATACCCATCAGGAGTCAAAGGCTACAAACTTTTTGATGTAGTATCCAAACAGATTTTCATATCCAGAGACGTTACATTTCATGAAAGCATATTTCCTTTCTACACAGTCAACAGCCATACTCATCACATCGATCCTTTTCCAGATCTTGTTTTACCTAAACCTCAGTTTTCACAGCCTGCAAACATTCATGCCAATTCAATACCAATTCCTCATCATCTTGATTCTACCTTACCAATTAGCCATCATTCATCACCCCACTTGGTCCCTCCTGATACTCTGCCATCTATTGATATTCACACATCATCCCAACCGGAATCTCATGAATCCCAGCTTGCTGATGACACAACACTCCTTGTCCCAGCCACTCAAGCTATTTCTAACAATGGGGTTAGAAAGTCACATAGACTCATCTATACTCCTAAATACCTCCAGGACTACCATTGGAATCTGATTTCTCAAACTTCTCAGACTTCTCCTTCATCGCCTTATCACATTGCTCGTTTCCTGTCATACCATAAACTCTCTCCCAGTCACAAACATTTAGTCTTAAATATTTCTTCTCATCTTGAGCCCCATTTTTATCACCACGCTGTTAAAAGTCTAGAGTGGCGTGATGCCATGAAGTTGGAACTTGATGCAATGGAACAAAACAACACATGGTCGGTTATGCCCCTACCACCAGGTAAGCAGTCTGTGGGCTGTAGATGGGTTTACAAGACTAAGTTCAAATCAGATGGCACAATGGATAGACATAAGGCTCAACTTGTGGCTAAGGGGTATACTCAACAAGAGGGTCTTGATTTGTTTTGATACATTCTCTCCAGTGGCTAAAATTGTAACAGTCAAGGTTCTTCTTGCACTTGCAGCTCATCGTGACTGGACTCTAATTCAGCTTGATGTGAATAACGCCATCTTGAATGGAGATTTGTTTGAGGAGTTATACATGGACCTTCATCCTGGCTATCATGTTCCAGAGGTTACTAAGCAAGAGGGAAAGCTAGTCTGTAGGCTCCACAAGTCCATCTATGGACTTAAGCAAGCTAGCCGGCAGTGGAATTTTAAGTTTTCTCAAGCACTTGTTCAGCATGGATTTGTTCGGTCCAAGGCTGATCACTCTCTGTTCACAAAAGGTTTAGGTGCTGACTTTGTGGCTTTACTGGTTTATGTAGATGGCATTGTTATTACTGGCCCAAACTCACAGATTATTAACTCTCTGAAATCATTCCTACAGTCCCTCTTCAAGCTGAAAGATCTTGGTTGCTTGAAATATTTTTTGGGTATTGAGGTTGCTCGTTCCAAATCAGGGATCGTGATTTCTCAAAGACATTATACTCTCCAGTTGTTAGAAGATGCAGGCTATTTAAATTGTAAGCCAGTCACTACTCCTATGGATCCCAAAATTTATTTGAGCATTCATGAAGGGGATCTACTGTCTAATGCCACACCTTACAAAAAGTTGGTTGGGAAATTGATCTATTTAACCATATTAAGGCCAGATATCACTTATGCAGTCCATAAATTCAGTCAATTTCTGTCTCAGCCTCTCATGCCACATCTTAAGGCGGTGCACCATCTTCTTCGGTACTTGAAGAATGGCCCTGGTCAAGGATTGTTCTTTACAGCTTCTCCCTCTTCTCCCATCACGTTGAAAGCCTTCTCCGATGCTGATTGGGGATCT